GCACGATCTCCGCAGAGGGTTGCGCGCGGACCGCACCAATCGCACTCTCGCCTGCATTTCGCGCACACGACACGCACGATCTCCGCAGAGGGTTGCATTTTCGGGTGACGCTGTTCGTCCCACCCTCCGCCTTTAAGAGAGAATTTATAAAGTGGGGAAATGTTTTTTCATTAGGACATCTCCCGTGCAAGTTTTCCATACTCACACTTGCATTACACTTGGATATACTTGCCGTTGGATGCTTTCACTCTTCCACTTACACTGGGATACGTATAGAAGTGTAAGTCTTCATGTTCATGTTCAAGTGTAAGTGTGGAAGCGTAAGTGTTCAAGTGTACGTGTCGAAATGTCAGTATTCAAGTGCAAGTGTGGAAGTGTCAGTGTGTGAGTGTAAGTGTAGAAGTGTCAGTGTTCAAGAGATTTTCCGGAAGAACCCTTCGCAATGCTTTCGGGAAAAACACAAAAGTAACAAATATAGTGTTCCAAAAAAAGTCACCACATAAGCGGAATCCTCTCTCACCCAAAGGGTCTTCTCAATCGCCGCTCAGGTGCCGTGTCCAAAACCCCAAAGTGGGCCTTGCTCCGCTCACTGCTCTGCTCCTGTGAAATTCAGATGGAGTTGGAGGCCAAGTAGGTTGGAGGCCATGCCATCGCCCTTAGGTTGGAGACCATCGCTAGTAGGTTGGAGGCCATCGCAGGTAGGCTGGAGGCCATCTCGGAGGCCATCGCTAGTAGGTTGGTTCAAAAAACGACACATCACAGCCCTAAATGCCTTCCTCCTATCATTTGCCTCATATGTACCACGACTCCACATGGTCCTAGGTTGGAGTCCCAGTCGCAAGTCTCCGTCTCCAACCTCTCTTGGGGTCCCAAAAATCCTCGTGGCAGACCAAGTGTTTCTTCTGGGACTTTGTGGGTGCAAGCACCTTGATCAACAAAAATTGGGTGGGCGAAAGCGCTAAGCCATCTGGGGTTTGATATGGTCCCCACAAAAACTCCATCATGAAGTAATTTTGGATGTTTCGACGAAACACGACTCCTGCCAGTCAACATGCTTCCAAATGCATCAAGCACTCGCTTCTCGGACATTTCTTTGTGCTGCCATACGTCTTCGGTCGCCTTTGGTTATTGGTGCCACCCCAATCGGTTCGCGCGCGGGAGGCCGATGGGAGGCCGATGGATGCTCCGTGGACGCTTCAGTTGACTTGGTGGTCACTCAAGGAGCAGTACAGTTACAGGTGGTGACCTTAGGTTCAGGCCAGTGAACAAGGGTGAGGTCAAACAACGAGTACCTTAGGGTGTTGGAGCACCTTAGGTTCGGGTCAAACAGTATGGACTTCAGTACTTCTTCTTTCCTCGGCATTTCAGCACATCAGTACAGTCCACAAGTCGGGCAGAACGGAAGAACGCCGAGACAGTGGCCAAAAAATGGGGATGCTTCCACCACCAACAGAACTCCTAGAAGTACTCCTGAAATCATTACGGAAGTTGGAAACTGGTCCCTGAAATGAGCATTCTCCTCTCACTGTGCCCTGACGAAGGGGCCAGCAGGGGCCCTGCGTTCGGGTCACCCCTGTGTTTCGGTGAAGGTCCGACGCCACGGAGGGCCCCAAGAATCTTGGGGCGATGAGCTATTCCACAGACTCATTTAGGCATGATGATTTCAGGGATCCAGGGACTGATTCTTGGGCTATGATCAATGGCTCAATGCTTTGGGCTATGATTTCAGGGACTGTGCCACTGGGCATTCACCCAATGACCACCCACCACTGGCCGCTCTCTCAGTGTGGCAGCCGGCGGAGCAAATGGAAGATGGCCAGGCCCAAGCCACCGGCCACGGCGTTCCTGGGACTTGCTACATGTTCTTGGAACATCCTGAACAAATACACATGATAATAAAAATAAGAAGAAAAACACCATATTACTGTAATACAAACTGCGGGAGACATCTACTACAAATCAGGATGCAAATGCAATTTATATAGATTTGATCACCTCCTGACAAAGTTGCATTGTGGGCCGTGACACGACAGTGGGACATTGAATGGGAGAAGTTACAGGAACTGCATATATTCTTGAGGTGTCACACAATTCTATGGTCGTGCCCTCCCACAAACCAAGTGGCGTTCCCTTCAAAAAGAACATCTTTTGAGTGCTATCTCCAAAAACGGAATCTGCTCATCCATCGTCCACCATTCTACCATTCTTGTCCACCTCCCTGTATTTCAACCCAAGTGAATATCCCAAGGGTAAAAGCTATAGTAGCTTCTTGTTACTAGTACTAATGCAAGGAGCTACTAGTAGCGATGCCCTTGTTATTAGTGGCTATATTGTTAGTAGCGATGCACCTTGCTACTAGTAGCTTCTTGTAGCATCACCTGTCCGGGTCCAACCAACCTCAGAACTTGGAACTCCCAAAAAACTGTGTGCCTCATCCGAAGACTTTTCGCAAACTGATGTGTGAATAATATTCATAAATGTCTCTTTTGTCCCTTTTGTCAAGGAAGACTTGTGGACATTTATGAAACCTAATAGCGATGGCCTCCAACATGTATAATGCCAAACTAATGAACTAATGTAATTAGATTCGACTCGACCCCTGTTGAATCAAATGCAATAATGCTCCTGGCAATGCTACTAGAAACAAGAAGCGACTAGAAACAATATAGCCACTAACAAGTGCATCGCTACTAGTAACAAGGGCCTTACTAGTAGTAACAAGAAGCTACTAGAAACATATATAGCCACTAGTAACAAGTGCATCGCTACTAGTAACAAGGGCCTTACTAGTAGTAACAAGAAGCTACTAGAAACAAGAAGCTACTAGAAGCATATGTAGCCACTATAGTAACAAAACCAAAACACCTGCGAAACCCGACCCTGCGGCGGGTTTGGCAAGGCACCCAAAGGTCCCCACCAAGAGCGCCGGCCGCTGGAGCTGCGGCCACTGCTTGCTACTGGCCAATGAGCCTCGGATAACGCTTGCACCCGTGCGACCGAAACTGGGCACAGGAAGAAATCTGTGGATTTCTTGGGATGATTTGTGGCAAGTCTACCAAGAAGCTACTAGGGGCTCCTGGCATCGCTACGTTCGTAACAAGTGCATTACTGCTAGTCACAAGAAGCATGTGTTTAAAGAATTCGGTCAAGTACCCTCAGCGTTGCTGCAAGTGAAGTGCAAAGACTGGAATTGTGAGCATGCTGGGTCATGATCCCATTCTATTGCCCACATGGTCAAAGCGAGGTGTTACAGTGGCGGATACCTCCCTCTTCCTTTGTGTTGCATCGTTAATGTATTTTGGCATCCTTACAATACACTTTGCGGATGGTCAAAATGCATAACATCCAAAACAGAAGTGCGAATTCAGAAACCCACAAACTCTTGTCAACATCGATTGCAAGCATCTGGTAAAGAATATATGGGAACATCAACTTCCAAATTGCACACTTTGCGGTTTGCTACATGGGTGTGTACTGCGGGGACACCACGCCGTTTCCGCTTGGTCAAATGGGCTTGGTCCCTCGGCCAGGAGTCCAACTGGTGACCAACCTGATCCTTTTTCCACTCCCACACACCCTGGTAAGAACCTCCCAAGGGGAGGGACCACCCCGAACGCTTTCCTTGCGGTGCGGTGCGCGGTGCTTTGCGCGCCGTGCTCCCAAGGCGCTCGCCGTAGCGGGGCCACCGATGTTGGCGCTGCTGGCGACCAGGAGCTCCGCGCGCGTGAGCTTGGCGAGGCGGCCGAGGAGGAGGATCAGGAGCAGGTGAATGGCATAGAGCCTCGAAGGATGAAGTGAAGGATCAAGTGGTTTTTGAACCGGAAAAAGTGTGGAGAACTGTATTGCTGAAGTGAAATGGTGTGACGAAGAATTCAATAGAATTCAGCTGTTTCTTGAAGGTTCATGGGAAAATGATGAAAGTGACCCTTGCCAGTATCAATGCAGAGATGGTCATCTCTGGAAGGTTTTTCAGATCAATCATGATCGGAATCGGGGTTGCGGCTCGTTCCTTCCCAAAAGCGGCGCGACGAGTCCACGGCACTGCGACGAGTCCACGGCGCATGACGGACTGGTCATAGGGCGTCGCCTTGTTTCTGCGGAGGAAAAGAGACATGCACAGTCATGGTAAGCCATGGTGTTGAATAGCATGAGCAGTTCCATCTGAAATTTGATGCCCCATATATGGAATGACCCATTGTGCCACACATTGATGGTCTGGAAGGAGTGGGCAATTCCCATCCTCAAATCTAGGAGTTGCCCTCCCATCCATCTTGCCGGTCCCAATCCAAGGAACATGATCCCAAAGTCTATCCTCGGGACCGCGAGGAGACTTCCGGAGGAGACTGGTTCCTACCATTCCTACACCTTTGACCACAGCTTTTTGTTGATTTGGAGAACGAACATAGGGGAAAACTCCAAGTACTACCTGACCTCCACAAACCAATCAAATCAAGCAAACATAGCAACCAATTAAAGGGATTGCAAAATGGTTGAACCCTCCGCGTTGTCACTCCCCCTTAGGGAGAGTGCAAACAGGGTGGTGCCATGATCTCCCAAGCACCCAGGCCAAAGAACAACCACAATAGGCAAAACTATGCAAACAACAAACGGAACTTCTTGAAACATACCTTTCTTTGCTACCCGGTCGAGCTTCCAACCCAACTTCCAGCATCGAGTCATGAATTTCACACCACCGAAAACCGTGAACGATCATGACTCGAGACACGTGAACGCTCACGTTCAAGCGCGGTCGTCCCTATACATCCAGGTCTTGGTTTCGGACCTCTTTGATGATCTTTTCCCTAGGGATCCAGTCGTACCTCCTCAGGTTCGGTACGACTGGACCCTCCTGGCACCCACCCCAGTCCTACCTTCGAAACGAGGGTACTTGGATCTATAGGGTTTGATGTGCATCCAGCCACTGGACCAACACCCAGTAGCCTGGAGGCGCTGCCTGGACCCTGCCTGGACTCCCCACATAGCCTTCCGTAGCCTTCGCTGCTGAGACGTTCAAATCTTCGGCCCTAGAGGCCTGAAAGCCTCATTGAGTAGTGCTTTTTTGTAACGACTAGCTGAATCAACTCCAGTCGAAGTCAGTTCAGAGTGGCCAAGCCATCGGCACCGAACATGCGACTTTTGGGAGGACCATGATGCCAGTTACCACACCAAACGCTGGACACCAAACAGGTTTCAACAGCCTCAAAGCAGAAAAAAACACTAGAATTGGCGAATTGAAATCGTTGGCCGACACCGATGGACTTTCCAAACCCCGAAATGCCTACTATAGTTAAGCAACCGAGCACAAAACACACACACACACACACACGTTATCTGAAGTGACTTCCTGTGGCATCCTGTGGCCAACCCTTGGCGCTCGGACGCGGATCAGTGCCGGTGCCCAGCGTCAGAGGCGAGAAGCGCCGCAAGGTGCTGCCAGGCACGGCCTCGGCGCGCAGCGCGCGGCGTCGTCTGATGCGTCGTGGCGCCTTTTGGCGTCCTTGTTCCTAGTAGCGTCCTTGCTCCTAGTAGTAAGGCCAGGAGCCCCTAGTAGCTTCTTGTTACTACTAGTAAGGCACTTGTTACTAGAAGCGATGCACTTGTTCCTAGTAGCGAACCTTGCTCCGTTCGTAGTAAGGCCAGGAGCCCCGTTCGTAGCGTCCGATCGCTCCGTTCGTAGCGATCCTTAGGTTCTGGTACGTTCTTAGCACCGTCAGCAATTTGGTAGGTGGTTCTGTGATCAAGCTCTGTTTGGGTGGTCAGAAGGTGAATGAAACAACTCGTGTTGCGGAGCCGGCAAAAACTTGTTATGTCGCTGATCAATTACGTTTTCAACGACGACATACGGTTTTTGCAAGTGGCACATCAACCTCTGACAAACATGGAACTGCCAACTACGAGTAGTACGTCACTCGCGGCCTTCAAAAAGAAACCAAAATTAAAAAACGCTTCTCCAACTCAGCAGCTCCCACCGTGAAGCCTGCGGCAGCAAAGTACAAATACCTCAGTCTCGTCCGCGCGTGCTCGTCCGCGCGTTCTCGTCGAGCGGCAAAGCCCTGACGAAGATGTTCGCTACGAAGAAAAATCGATCTCATGTGCGAAACCCATGGGCAGCAAGCTTGCTAGACTATCCCGGTACCCCAGAATGGTCCTAGTTCAGGTCACTGGATACCTCTCTTGGTGAGTCTAACCCAACCTTGCACCTGAATCCACAAGACTCCCGCGGTGACGTGCTCCGGGTTCGGCACGAAGGCTGGAGATGCGTGGAGGGTACCACCTCTGCGAATTCGTCGAGCCCCAGAAATGGCACCGCCAAATCCCTAAGACATCTATACTAGTAGCTTCTTTGCTTCCAGTAGCGATGCCCTTTGCTCCGTTCGCAGCGTCCTTGTTCCTAGTAAGGCCAGGAGCCCCGTTCGTAGCGTCCGATCGCTCCGTTCGAGACGCGATGCCCTTTGCCTACAGGTTCTTTCTGAGTCACCTAACGGCAAACCATTCACTTCCATGTTGCGCGCACCTCCAACATCTGAACCGTCCTGTCCACCGCCGGGCGGCAGCAAGGGCCAGCCCAAGGCCTCCCCGGCGGGCCACCGTTTGGCGGCGGGGAAGGTGCCCAGGAGCACTGCCAGGAGGCTGGAGGTGATGCACGCATAGCCTGCTGGGGAAAACCTGAGAGCTACTGAGCAGTGGAGAGAGGACAACCAGTGGCACGTGTGCATGGGTGTTTGAGGAGTTTTTTGGGGCTCCAGAAGATGGTTTTAGGATAGTTTTAGGTTGGAAGTCATGTCTGTAAACCCTAGACCTGGTTTTTGTAGTGTAAAATCCTTAGTTAATTCGGTAAAGCCTATTAAATAATGGTGGTTGGAAGCCTAAGGTAAAGGTTTTCTTTTGGGTGTCGGGTTGAGAAGGAGTGGGTGAAAAGAGCTCAGGTGCTGGTGAAACGCCAGCATCATCAATGCTGATGATGCTGGTCTTCTTTCGCCAAGATTTGGTCTCAGAGCCCGGTGGTGAAACCGCCCAGCGTGTCCAACGGCGACTGCCAAGCCGCTGGTGAGCCAGGAAAGCGATCGCCAATGCCACCAAGAAGGTCCTCAAAATGCAACCCGACTATCAAAGATCCGACACACACATCGAACTATTATTGGGTCGACTCCTAATCTACCCGTAAACGTGGATGATGATGGTTCAGTTGCCTTGTTCAAAAATGATGATCATTGTTTATTGACTGTTACAAGTATGAGGACAAACCCTATACAGTATATATATATATATTATATATATATAGAGTTAGTTGGGTCTATTACCAGATTTCAGGGGATGATGATGGTGCCTGGTTGCAGGCCTTTCTTTCAAATTGTGATCATTGCTTGTTTACCGACTGTTACAAGTTTACGAACGGAACCAGGACACCAGAACTCCGAACATCCCTTCGGATGAGAGTCTCAATATGTCTCAATCTTCAGCTCCTCGGCTCCCAACCTCGCAGGTCTCGCTCGCTCGCAACGACCGCCAAGCCACGTCAGGCTCTCGGTGAGCGAGAAGTGCTCCGGACCGCGCCCCCTGGGCGACCACACCAGCGAACACCGGCATAACACCGAGGTGTCGTAAACTTGGGTCGTAAACTCCAGTCACCCGCCAGTGACTGGATGTGAGTAGTGTGGGAGCACCCAGGTTCCTCCTTCCCCTCCTTCCGGTCAGAACCGCAACTCTATGGAACTAAACTGGTGTGTTGGTGGGGGCGCTTTGGCTTTGCCCTACGGGGCCTTCGTGTGGACCCAGTCTGCCAAGCCCAGACACGACGCTCCATGGGACTGCCAGTCCGGACTGCCGAGAAACGGCCAGGGGTGGTGCCAGGGGGGTCAATGTAGGCATATATATATATGGCAATATAATTCTAATAGCTTTTTGTTACTACCAGTAAGGCACTTGTTACTAGAAGCGATGCACTTGTTACTACTAGCGATCATTGTTACTACCAATATGGCAGTCCCATGGAGTGTCTGCCAGAGAGAGGTGAACAACGCGCTGTCCTTGCCAGACGCTCGAGTCTCGCGTCCTGGGCCCAAGTCGCGAGATGTGCATATCTCGGGAAACAGAATACCTAGATATGTAGACCTAGACCTGGACCTAGCACTTCCATTAATACCTAGATAATAACAATTAATACCTAGACCTAGCACTTCCAATCAGTGCCCTGTCTGGAGACCTGTAAGTAGGGTAGGGTCTATTGGACACCCAGACAGGATGAGGTAGACAATACTAATTAAGACATCGGGTGGAGAAAGGCTTAAGTAAGCGGGACCATGATGGACCACACCACCTGGTAGCTTCACAGTATCACCAGCCATATGACTCGAAGCCCTTCTTGAAAGGGCCCTCCCAATGACCCTCCGTCACTGCTCCGGGGGGCTGCTCCTCCAGCGTTGCTCCGCGTCCGCGGCTCTCAGAGTTCTTCGGAGTTAAGCCTTGCTCCCGGGGGCGTGGCCCGAGTTCCGCGGTGTACGGCAGGAAGGATGCAGCTGGTGAGGAGAACTGGCCCAAAAGGCTACCCAGCCAGCCCTGAAGCGCCAAGTCCTCAGACCCTGCCGAAGAGCTGCAAAAGCTTAAGTCTCCGCTTTTCATTGGGTGCCCTTCTAGGTGCCTTGGGACACCGGAAAAAAGAACCTTGTTCTTCGTAGTTTGATTGCATCTTTAAGGAGTGGGGTTGAAAGGATGAGAAGCCTTCAAGAACTTCAATTGGAGTCGTGTATTGCCCTTTTGAGGATGCACATATGCAATTTTCTCCACATAACGATCCGCCTGCCCTCGTTGGAACCACTTTCCGTCACAAAGAGACAGAACGAATTGGATTCGTCTTTCTGGAGAGTACCCAGTTTCTGGATGTTTTGGGGAGCATCACCCGTAGTCCCATAGTATCTACTATTATCTACTTAATACGACCCACCGACACCACCCCCAAGAAACACATCCATCCGCCGCAAAATTTAAACAAGACAAAACACGCGGTGGACGCGATGACACCGCACAAAACACCCCCCAAATCAGGGAAAAACATATCAACGGAGCCGCAACCACACGACGAGACGAGATGAGCTGGTCTCACTCCCTTTTTGTCGTTGCGTGTGACGTCACACAACCATCATGTCTCGCTCGTCGCTCGAAGACCGACGTGGCTCGGGCCACCAGGCGGTCCAGTAGGACCTGGAATGTCAAGGCGGCGGAGACGGGCCCAAACGGCCGTTGGTTGAAGAATGCTCTCTCTCTGTTGTCTGTCTGAAGTACCTGCTGGGTGGCTTTTGCGAGACTAAATCCCCTTGGTGAGACCAGTGACACTCATACCGGTGTCAAATGCCGGTGTATCTGTCAATGCCGGTGTCAAATATTAGACCCTTTAAAGGGTTCCTTCAATCCTCTTGGTCTCAACAATGTTCACACTCAACGAAACGCAATCTATGTGGAAACATAGATGTCCATCAAAAATTAGTGTATGTCTCAAGGATTGGATTGTTGAAAGTTGAAACCATCAGTTCAAGTTTTGTGATCTCTTCTTACCCTTCCATCCGAATCCCAGTTCCACTTTGGGTTGTTGTCTTGTACTGTGAGGATGAAACACCTCTCACCCTCTGAGTGTGGCATTGCTGCATGCTCACAGGGCTTCAACGGGCTTCAGGGCTTGCAGGAGAACTCCGGTTTTCTGGTGCCATCTGGTGATAGCAAAAGAAGCTACGAACGGGGCTCCTGGCATCGCTACTAGGAGCGATCGGACGCTACTAGCGACGCTCCTGGCCTTACTAGTAACAAGGAGCCACTAATTAGTAGCAATCTGGTACTATCCGAAATTCCGGACCCTTCTGGGCGCTAGTGCTTCTCTGCTTGCTGCCCACGTCCGTCTCGTTCTCCCGTCCGAGGCGCAAGACCCACTGACTCCAGGAAGTGGCGAAGCTGTGGAGACGCCAGCGCCAGGGGGGCTTGGCGCCGTGCAAATACTGCACGTAGAGGTAGGAGTCATAGTGTTTCCTAGCATCGGGAGTGTCACCAACGGTTGGTCGAGAGGAGTTCTTAGGGCCCCCGAAAGCGAGAATTTTTCGGGTGTGTCCATGTGTTTCCTTCCTTCCCCAAGAGCGTTTCAACCCATGCGCCGGAGCCGATTATGAACGACTCAGTGTGGTGAGCCACAGTAAGTGGGTTAGATGGAAGGATGCAACATGAAAGGCTGAAGATGTGACCTCTGGGCCAAAAGGGCATATCAACTTATCTCAAGCCCTGAATTTTGGCAAAGCGGCGTAGCTGGAATAAACATGATAGCAGGGAAATAGACTGAGTTTGCGCAGTCCATCTTTAAATGATACCCTGATGAGTGCAGCAACCTTTGGAAACAATGAACTCAGAACAAAAAACGCTGCTCCAAAGCAAAAACCTCACTTGTCCCAGACCTTTAGGTGCTGAGATGTGCTGTCTCGAGTCCCATGGAGGTAGTAGAAGTGTGGGAAGTACTTGATCCGCAAGAAGCCGCAGGACTCGTAGAGCTGGATGGCCGCTTCATTGTAGGTCACCACATGGAGAAACACTGCTTTGACCTGCCGAGGACATGAAAAAAGGAAGGACTGCCGCATTTGGTCCACCATCCCGTTTTGCCTCCGAAAATCCTGTTTCGCCCGCTTCGCTACGAACGGAGCAATGACGCTTCGAACGTAGCTCCTGGCCTTAGCTACTATAGGAACAATGTTCGCTACGAACGGGGCTCCTGGTATCGCGACTCGAACCGTTCGCGCTCGGACGCGAAGCGAACGGAGGCGATCGACGGGTCGATCCCACCTGAGGCATCTGCTGCCGCACGTGCTCGGTGGAGCGCCTTAGCAGCTCCTTGGCCAGGCCCTTGCGCCGGAAGGGCTCCGCGATGCCCAAGGTCAAAATGTAGGCCAAGGCACCAGTACTGCGAAATAGTCGTGGACGGCGAGGGAGGGATTGTGGGGCGCCGCGAAACAAACACCACACAAACAACCCGGTCGAGCAAACCCTAGACCATGACAGTCATGGTCGAGGAAGGCCAGGATATAGACATTTGATGTCAACCTAGAAATCAGTATCCTCCCCCTATGAATCAAGCCCAGCTTGAGCCCCCAATACTAAGCTAAATTAAAACCTGAATTCCACAGTTCCAGGACCCGAATAAACATTTTCCTTGGCAGAAACCTCTCCCTATCAATCAAGCCCAGCTGTCCCAGAAAAATATCGTTCACCATGTTATATCCAGCATCCAATATCTTCTGGCCAGCGTCCATTGCTCCCCAATCCCTAAAAACTCTCTAGCAACATTCTTTCATTTTCCCGCCTGATTAAAACTCTATCAATATCTACAGGTTTTCAAGCTCACAAAGAGTACCCCTTACACAGGCCTCATGGTTCACACAGAATCCTAGCAACCATCATCCATCATCAGGTAATCACCTTTATTAGGGGGATCTGGTCTCCAAAACCTCCAAAACCTTGTTGACCTTGAAGGAGGGGGGCCGTTGATCAATGCTACGTCGACATTAAGGAGGAGATTAAACAGGTGATATATGACACACACATATATATATATATATACTGCAAGAACCCTAAAGTTTACGCTTCTTACTCTGTTCCAACATGACACTTGCGGTCTACAGCGGATCGGATTAACACGTCCTTTTTGCCTGACAGGTACAGCACGGTGTGGAAATGTATAATACTTATAAAGCTTTCAGGTGTGGAAATCTGACCGCAACTTAGGTGTCAACATGTTGCATGTAGGATTCTAAGGGGAAAGGGTTTGTGAGGTTTTAGAAGTTAAGAAGCGCAACTTTCGGCACCCCAGTGTATTATGATGTTCTTTTTCAACAATGTCGTTTTGAGTTTTCATATGCTAAGGCACCGCCGGTACTGCGGTATATTGGGGTACTGGGTTAAGTACGCCGTACGAAATGTATATGTACCATTTGGATACGTACCAGTGCCGCAGCTGATCAGTGCTCATCAGTGATGATAAGGAGGATTGAAAGGAACTGTTTCAGGTAGTTGGTATTTCAATCTTTTGCACCTCATCTCTGTTGGATGTGCTTCTGCTTGCGACAGCTTACGCGTAACCAACGTAACCATCATTTGGTGTGTTCACAGCTGCATGAACAAGACACCATGCATAGAACAACCCAGTATGTCAAGGACACTGGCATACTCCACCACCATGCACATCACCACCACATGGGCCCACCATGACCAGTCCTGGGGCCCTCCTCCAGGGACGAGCTCCGGCAAACTTGCTCACAATCGGCATCCAGCACATGGCCGATGGAATCTTTGTGATGCTCACAGTAAGTGCTCATGGTGATCATGCCAAGGATATGTTCCTGAGACAGCTGGGCAGAAGCTGGACAGTGTCCATCAGACTGGTGATCCGAAGCGCGCTTGGACCAGGTGGCCACCAGGGAATACAAACTTCCGGCCACAGACTTGTTGTAGAAATCCTGGTCGTACGAGACAGGAAACCACTCCTCGGTGCGAAGAACAAAACAAAGGAGCAGTCATGGAACTTCCTGGGGACACTGTTTAACTGCGTCTAAATAGAAAAGCCAGTACAACGATAATGCCTATATATATATATTATATATTGTATATTCTTTTTGTACATACTGCAGGACTGCAGACTGCAGGATTACAAAATATGTGAGAAGTCATGCAGCGACAAAACATATGCCATCTGAGTCACCCACTGATGAACAACATCATCAACAACAACTACTACTTCTGCTACTGCTACTGCTACTGCTACTACTCCTACTCCTACTCCTACTACTACTACTACTACTACTACTACCACTACCACTACGACTACGACTACGACTACGACGACGACGACGACGACGACGACTACTACTACTACCACTACCACTACCACTACGACTACGACTACGACTACGACTACGACTACTACTACTACTACTATTACGATTACTACTACGACTCCGACTCCGACTCCGACGACTACTACTACTACTGTCTCTTGTCTTTCACCCATCTCTGGAAGCCTCTTTACTTCTTTCCACTTCGTCTTCCGGCCTGGTGCAGTGCGATCATCTCCTCCATGTCTGATGCCACCAAGGGCCGGTAGCCCAACTCCTGGAGGCCGATCTGCGCCGCGTCCTCCAAATTCAGCTCACGGTGGATCTTGGCCTTGAGCCGCGGCACCGTCTCGGAGGACAAGTCCTGCAAGTGCAGAATGTTTTCACGAGGTAGGAGGGTGAGCGAATGGGAACGGAAAAGAAAAAAGGGCCATGACAGGGAGCCAAGAGGAAGAAAAGAACATTAAAATGAATGAGGTAATATGAGGTAATGATGGGGCAAGAAGCAATTGACGCATTTCTTTTGAAGGTGCCAGAAACGCGGCGTTGCGGAGCGCACCCTTCTTGGCTCCCTGTCTTTTGTCGCTTCGGTCCGGCATCGCCGAGGAGGAGCTCTTGGGCAACTGGTCGTCCGGCACCGTGCCATCCATGGCGTCGGTGTCGGGGGGGAGGACAAGCCGAGCAGGTCGTGGAACCGGTGAGTGGTGTCGTGAACGAAAACTTCGCGAAGGCGGCAAAGGGGGTTTTCGGTGTTGGTGGATGGTTGGGGCTGGGACTCACCTGTAAAAGGGGCGTGTTCGCTTGGCAAGTTGTTGCAGTTGAGTGGGGTCGTGAAGGTAGCTTTTTCAAGGTGCCCTTTTTGTGTTTAATTTGTGTGTATACATCCCACAGCAGTCGCGTTCAGTTGTGCTTTTCGTGTGTTTGTGGTCTTTGGGGTCAAAAGCGCCTCATGGAGCTGGTGCTTGATCAGCGGTCCTTAAAGACATTAGAACTATACGTCTGTGTTTTCTTTTGTATGTGATTTGAGCACGAAAATAATCCGCATCCGCCTGGGTTCATCACTGCTCCAAGCAAGCTTCGTGAATATTTATTCAGTCTTTGCAGACTCATTTGTTTTCATTCCTCTTCCTCAAACATGTTCTACCTTCATGAAGGTCCTCCCAAAGGGAGCTTCGAGCCAAAAAGAAGCACACGTGGGGCGGACGCTGCAGTGTGCGATATTATCGACCTACACTCTCAAAAATTTCGTCTAGCATTGACCTTACCATCTATCTCTGATTGCTGGACCAGGTCGCACCTTTGACGCCAAAAAGCTGCATGCAGCCAAGTGCATCTGGCTCAATCACCTTGCCGCAACCTTGTTGACTTCGATAAACTACTCTTGACTTCCATTCTGGGCTATCCAGGTGCCATCTCTAGCTTTCTTGTCACAGGTCTGTTCGCAACATACCATTCTGGGAAGCTCCGTTCGTCCTGTTCGTCTTTTCATGTCCCAGACCGTCCCTCCAAACTTCTTCTCCAGTCCTTCTGTTTACAGTGTTCTTCTTTTCAGCTAATCCAACTGCGCTTGACCCTTGATCTCCACCACGCCCTCCCCCGGCATTGGGCGAAATGGCCGCCAGAAAGCTTGGACTTGTTTACGGAGATTTACATGGATGCACCCAGTTCGGGAACATCAACCACCTTGCCTTCACAAGACACCCGCCCAAGGCGTCCCTCTTGCCGCGGGTGGCTGGCAGCCACCGGGAAGTAGATCACCCCCAGGGCGCTGTCCACCGCCAGGCTGGCGGCGATGATCAACGGCTTCCTTGGTGGAAGCGGCGAAGGGGTCCGGACGGTCGGAATGGATCAATGTGAGGGTTTGTGAAGGATGGAAGGATGGAAGGTGATGGGAATCTGACACCAGAACTGGACGACGAGTGTTCACTCAAGTGTCGACGAGGAGTCGAGGAGGGTCAACAAGGGTCTCCTAAAGACCTGGTGTCCAAGAGAGTCTGGACCAAATCCATCTAAATTCATCCAATCCGTTTGGCTGCAATCGCTCCCCATCGTATCCGAATACGAAACTGCCTATACCAAGAGAAAACGTGACAATTCCTTCGGAATCTGCAATGCCACCTCCTCAACATGACATCGGACCCCAACGGGCCTCAGGCAGGAAGTATCCCCAGGGCTCCAAGTACCTTCTGAGAAGGTGTCGGAGGTGGGTGCCAGGAGGCTCCAGTCATACTTTCAGTCAGAGCTCCTGCCCTACTATAGGGTTTCTTTTCGGAACTTCCACTCGGTGCCGGGCGTCATCTGCAGGGCCTGCGCCACGGCCACGAAGTTGATGCCGCTGCCTCGGGACCCGAGGCCGGGCACCGGAGGGGTCACCCGCCGACCCTGAGCCAACGTCATCCCGACCAGACCGGGGGAGGGGGACGTCATCACACTAAGTGTACCTGGCTCCATTCATTTCGCCACTATAGAGATGTCAATGTCCCGAACGCCGTTGAGTTCCTCATAGCCCCAATGAGCTTTTTTATAGGTCTCAGGCGCCGATGTTCTTGCTGGTCAACGCTGCAATGGCTTTACCTGGAGCGTTGAACGACCGCCCTTCGCGCACAGGGTGCGAAGAACGTAGGACTCTGCGCGGACAACGTCGCAGCACGAAATCCCAAACAAGTTCCTGCGGGAAGAAACAAAGAACCAACCATGCCTAGTCTATTACTTATTCATTGTTTTTCATGTTTTAAACATAGACCAATAATTCTTCAGGATTCTGCCTAACCTCATCTTAGAGGAGCCAAGCATGCAAAATATAGAATTTCACATGCGGGTGGCCAAAACACTGCAAAGACTCATCGAACTTGTCGAGACCTCCAATGGTCCCTTCCACTTTCAACTTTCAACCATGAAAATCATGACTTTCTGGCGTGTAGATCCTCCAAAATTGGACTTTGCGCTACGAAGTGCCCTCAAAAATCCAGAGGATCTTATAGGACGTATCGGACATCTCCCATAATGACAGGCCAATCTGTCCAAGCCTCGTCGCTGTGCGCAACGAAGAGTCCAACAAAAAAACTCCCAAACACATGTGAAACGTAACCAAAATGTAACAAATACATACTAATACAGTAACCAAATAAACACGTTGCTCCCAAAAAACCTTCCAAGTCCGGTCTCTGGTCGAACACCGGACCTAACACCTTCCACCAAGCAGCTGGCCGTCTCCCAGCCCCCCAGGGCTGCGCTCAAGGGATGACGTAGCACCAGGGCAGCCAGCAACGCGGCGGACGCCGTGCTCACGGCTCCCACAGCGAAGGCGCCCAGCAAGCGACGCGTGGCGGGGCCACAGAGCTCCTATACCCACCCGTCACCCAAGCAGCGAAAACTGGAAACAGCGGAGGTGGGGGGTCCTTCTTTTTTCGCATAAAAAAGGAGCCGTTCAAAAAAGGTTCAATGGAATTGGTTGCGGCGAGTCATTTTTGCGAATCCAACGGCATGTAACTTGAGTTATTGAAACCATGTCCATCTCCTTCTATCGTCTTCACAAAACTCTGCCCTAGCTGGGCTATCTGGCGTGATGAAACTGAATACCACCGGGACTTTCAAAATGAACTTGAGGTCACTTAGTGCTTAAACAGGTCACTTAGAGACTTGAAAGAGGTCACTTTGAAGGTTCTGGCATGTCATTTCAATCAGCTTTGGAGCAACAATCATATCAACAAGTTGCCCGAATGGAACCCAACGTGCGCCACACAAAGTGCACATCTTTCACACATCCCTCAATCAACCCAGCGTGTAGTTGCAACAAGCTGAAGTACGCGTGGACCAATCCTTGTCAACATGCATCAACTTGATGGGGTCCTATGTCTCCATGTCAACCCACCGAGCGATTGCAGCGGCAGCTCCCCGTAACAGCGCCGATGCCGATGTATATGCCTCCACAGAGATGTGTACAGGGCAACGTTTTCTTGAGCGGGGCCATGGTACATGGATTCTCGATGTTTTTTCCGCGTGTCTGAGTATGTTAGCGGTAAGAATGCAACAAGCAAGTTTTGAGCCACACCCCAGCTCATGTTCAGTCGTCACGTGAAGAGAAGCCTGACTACTGCTCGAGCAATCATCACGAAAAGTGTCCTTTTGCGACAGCCATTTGGAAGCAAAGAACGCTACCCAACTGCGCTCAAAGCGACCAGCACCACCTCTAAGCCTTCAGAGAGGGCAGAATATTGAAAAAGAACACGCCGCATGGATATTGCATAGTGAATGAAAAGCCAAGCTGGAAAGCACCCAAATTAGGCTGCATGCGTATCTTAATTCTCAATGGCTACAATTATATAAGTTTATCAGAGGCAGCAGCGCATGCAAACCAACAATGTGGCAGCTCGCCCAGCGATACCAGAATCTTTTGCTGAATGATTTTCCGCTGCTGGATCCGACGTGACGTTCCATTGCTTCTTCCAAGCACTCCCACGGCATGAAAGTACGGATGACCTTGCCCTCGCTTGAAGTGTGAGCTATACCCCCAATGCCACTGCGCCTTAGAGAAATCAAGAGTAGGAAGTAGGAAGTGCCTAAGAAGGACCCCCACCTTACTGGAACGGAACATCAATCCGAGGGTGCATGGAGCAGCGCAAAACGCAAGTTGTGGTAGTAGTTAGGAGCAGTAGCAGCAGCAACCGCAGCTGAAGTAGGAGTAGTTGTAGTAGTCGTCGTAGTGTCGTACTAGTCGTAGCACCAGCAGCAGCAGTAGTCGTGGTAGTGGTAGTGGTAGTAGTAGTAGAAGTAGAAGTAGAGGGCGTCGTCGTCGTTGTCTTCGTTGTCTTAGCTACAAATTAACGCACCTGGCTTTGCCAAGCTCCTCTGCTTTCAATCTTGAACATGCGCGTCCAAACAATAATTAGAATGCTGGACATACGCAACACCAAATCCTTTTAGATCACATGTTTGTTTCGTCTCATTGTGTTTGCATGTGTTTTTTCCCTCAACCTTGTATTGTGTTGCCTGCTCTTGTTCCTGAAACGATAAATTCCTGAGGCCTGAAAGGATCTGGGTTCCGTGCATGTCTTTACATCCGCATTCAACGACTATAACAAGAAAGAACAGCTCAACACACATTACCTTGATCCATTACTAGTTATCCAAGGTGGAAGCTGGTTCTATTTGCCATGCTTCGTCACATTCTGTTGCCAACTTTAGAGACAAACCGTAAAACTGGCTTCTACAAATAAGGAAAGCAACCGCTAAATTCTCGAACATGCTTGTACGTATACAACCATTCTATAGAGGAAATGGAAATAGAAAATTAAGCAATCCAAAAGCCAGTTTCCTGTTGGTGTTCCTGTGTCTTTTGTCCCAAATTCTATCTAATTGAGGATGTAACTCTCCTGTCCAAGCTTTTTCTCTACACGCACGCTTCTTCACCACCCAAACGGCACCGTACCCCACCGCAAAAGACCACCCGAACTCCGCGTGAAAAACCATGTTTGAAGAAAAGAGAAGCGTGAAGCGGCCGGAGCTGGAGCGGCTGGACACAGCGGCCGGGCTCCTTCAAGTTGCAGGAGAGGAGCCTCGGCCGCATGGCATCGCATGCGGGATCAGGCAGGTCCCAGGAGTGAAGACAGGGGAAAGAATCGTCCTAGGAAACCCGCCGGAAAGGCCATGGATTTTTGTGTGGAGGCGAAAACCATGGTTTCCCATATGCTTCCATGTAGATGTTCCCTTCAATGATCTTGGATGATCTTGGCCTCTTTTTCTTCGGATCTTTCCAGATTGGAAGTTGGAAGCCTGCTCAGTCTTGCAAAGGAAATGCTCCAACAGGAGATCCAAAGCCAGGCAAACGTTCTTAGAAAGAGTGTGCGCAAAAATGCGCAAAGGTTTTGCCTGACACTTAGTGCAACACCTACAAAAGAGCGATCCTCCAAAAAAGTATGGTGTGCTTCTCCGCCTTGTGTCCCTACTATACTCGTCCAACTCAACCTCTCTCTGTCGAACTTCGGGAACTTCGGGATTGGTCCGAAGTTTCGCTTCTCGGATCACAGAGTGACATCCAACAGCTGAAACCTGATCCAGCCGAAGCTCCACTCATCCCCACTCGTTTGTTGGAACCAGTTGGAACGTGACCGCTGACCTCGACCACTCCGAGACCCGCTTGAAACGGGATGGCGGGCGGCAGCAAAGGAGTCGCCAAGGTCACCGAGAAGAACTGCAGTCGTCCTGACGGGCCGGGCCGAAGGACGTGGTGACCGAAGGACCGCCGTGGGACGTGGCTTTGGCCGAAAAGGACGGTCGCCGCGAACACATCCGCCTGGAGTCGACCTGTTCGTTCAGAACGGGTCGACTGCGTAGCTGCTATGTTTTGGGGCTTCCGGGTCGTTGGAACTTTAGGTCCCACCGTTCCGGGTACGTTTTGGGGGTCATGTCCCATGTTCCCAACGTACCTAAAGTCGGGTGAAGGGCTACGTTGGGACCTGGGATATATGTTGGCGGTACCCGGTTGGTACACAGCTTCTTGGCCACAAGGCTGAATGTCATGCCATGTGGCTGGGTGTGTTGAAGTTACCATGATAGAGACTCCAACATATCTGAGGAAACGTCCTTCCCAAGCACTTTCTTCCAGCAAGCGCACCCTTCAGATGCTCGTGAACAAGGTCATGGCAGGTCACGTGGCAGGTCAGTCCGTCCTTCGAGGGGTTTCCCCTGTGGCGAACCAACTGTTTTTTCCCACATCTGGCGAACCTGTCAACCTACGCCCGGGCCAAAACCCCAAATGTCCAGCAATGGAGAAATCCCACCATGCACTGCAGGATGAGATTGAGAACAGGAAAATGGCCTCAACGACCAGACCGTGCCGGCCTATGTGAGACCACCAAAACATAGTGTCCCAAAAGGACAGAACGGACTCCTGATGAGCTGGTTCAAAACACTGGTTCGGTTGGCCATTGCAGCTGGCTTCTTCTCAGGTCCACTCCCCAAGTTCATCGATCAAAACATATATAATCCACTGGTCCACAAACCACTTCCCTTCTCGAAAATCCTCTGGTCTCATCTCGTAAAGGACCTACGTAGCCCGGCGGGACGTGAAACGCGTTCGTTCTGCACCGCCGCGGGACGTAGCACGGCTGCAGGTGCCGGAGATTGGCTGGCGACCAGGACGCCCAGTGACATAGCGCACACGGGGCCCGTCATGGCCCGGCCCAAGGGGGTCTTGCGACCAAAGAGACCACCCAAGACCTTGGGAGAGGGCGGAGAGGAGAGGACCAGAAGTGGTTTGGAAGAAACAGTTCACCCGGTTCTAGTTGTCCTATAGGCAAACCAACCAAAACCGGTAAGATGAGTGTGCTCATGGTTCGGTTTGATGGCAAACATTCAAAAAAAAACACCTGGGAGCCTGAACTTTTCCGTCTCAGGTGGCCTTGGCTGCTCAAGAATTGGTGCCATTGTGGCTTCGATGGGCAAGAGCCCTGAGAGCCCGTGGTATCCTCAAGTTCATTTGCTGTCATTCGCAGGAGGAAAACCGCAAACGAATCGCATTCCTGTATTAAATAAATAATTCACCCAGAGGGAACAAAGAACATCACACGAATCGGCAAAACAAGGACAACCAGCTTGAAATGGGAGGCACACTGACAATCAAACTGTATAATACTATCCCATCACCAGGGCGTGGACGATGATGGTCATTTCGCAAACCTTTCTCCCCCAAATCGTGATCCTCTTTCACTACCCCTGCCAGTCCAAGGACCAAGTAACACCTAGAACCAAGAACCAAGGAACCTCATGAAAAAACCGGGCACTGTCGACTTGCATTCGACCCGTTGACCCGTTGACCCGAGGGCCGTGAGACTTGCGTTTATACCAGGACCCTCCTGTCGGGGTGTCCTGGCTGGAGGTCCTATAGGTAGTGTCGGGGCTTCCATTGGTGACCCCTTTGAGGGTGCTGGTATACCTGGGGTTTCTCCTATTACCAGATTTCAGTGGATGATGATAGGCCGTAGTTGCAGGCCGCTCCTCTAAAATAGTGATCATTGCTTGTTAACCGACTGTGATGGGTCATTTGGGGCAAACCCAAGATATACCCGATCACCCGGGCAACGATCACCCTGACTTGGCGTTTTCTACTCCGCCCAAAGGGGTCCCGGCAGGTGCCAGGACCTGGATGGAGAAGAATCTGCATGTCACGCTTCGATCCTGTCTTTGATAAAATCATCGTGCCAGGTCCTGTCATGCTTTTCCTTGACAGGCTCTCCATGATAGAAAGCATCCTGTCTTTGCCCGAAAACCAGAGACTCCCGGACCGCGAAATCGTCCAATCCACGGTCTCCACGGTCCACACCGTCCGGCGGACCTTTCCAAGGTCGGACGACCGGCCAAACAAATTGTTAACACGTTCGCTGAATCATGTTTCTCCCAACAGAGGTTGAAGAACCCAACCTAGACTATCCCGGTACCCCAGAATGGTCCTAGTTCAGGTCACTGGATACCTCTCTTGGTCTAAACGAAGCCCAACATTCTTCGGTTCCAACCGTCGCCCTTCGCCCCTCTGAGCCCAGGGAACGGCACAAAGCCCCACCAAAAGGGCGGCGGTGACCTTGCCACCTGCGAGTCGCCGGAGCCATTCGCAGCTGTGAAGAACGGGCGGCACAGGGTGAAGGACTCGGCACATGGCGGCACAGACTTGACCTTGAGAGGGAATGTATGAATGTAGTAGCTTCTTGTTACTAGTGGCGATGGCCTCCAACCTAATAGCGATGGCCTCCACCTAATTGGTAGCTTCTTGCTACTAGTTGACGGAATCTTGGAAAGATTTTATGTTACTTCAGCCAGGGGGTGGCGACAAGGTTTCAACAACACGTTCTATATGTGATAAAAACCTCCATGCCATCAAAGGACACCAACAACATGCGATAGTCGTCGCTCCCCGCCTAGCAGACCGGAGAAAAGCACCGAGGCCGTGGCTAACCAATAGCCTTAGAGTGAAGGCAAAACACAAACCTCAAGCTAAGCTTGCCCAGCTATTCAGCTTCTTCAGTTCGTGACCATTTCGTGACCCTTTTTCAGCGTCCTTGTTCCTGGTAGTAAGGCCAGGAACTACTAATAGCGTCCTTGCTCCTAGTAGCGATGCCCCTTGTTACTAGTAGCGTCCTTGTTCCAAGCATCTTATATTCCGAGGTCAGCTGGTCAAAGGTCACAACGACCTGTCGTCACTCGAAGCTGGTTTACAAATTCAATAGAGATGTTTGAGATATATTTGTTAAGCAAACTTACTCTTGATGTTTAAAACACCTGATCCCTGTGAAATGTCCAAATTCAGTATCGTATGTGTCTTTTAATTCAAGATTAAGATCCATGTTGGCATCCTCAGCCCAGCTGAGCCATCAAGGGCCTCGCCGCGTGTTCAACACCCGCTGCCCCATGTGCTACATATATATAGCTTATAGCTGATGGTCCTTCCTAATTCCGTTCTGATCATGGACGTGGCGTTTGAAGGGCCTTACTATTTGGATTTACCTGTTTTGGGGAAAATCCTGCATTAGTTGATTCTTTTGATGTTTGACTCGCCTTGCTTTGATAGCAAGCTTCCGGCTGGTTGCTTCATGTTGCTTCCCCGACTAGTTTGCACAATTTTGAAGGTCACTCCACCTTGGATCGTTGCAAATGGATCACAGAAGAAGGAGCAATGAAATATAAACCCGATTGAATGTGGGGCCGAGTAGTCCATCACAAAAAGCAACCAGAAGCCATCAAGTCCAACACGCCCAAAAGAATGCACACCAACCGCCAATTCAAAAGACTCTTGATCAACCCCCATGGCCACTCACAATCATCGACCAGCAACCAAAACCATCGGTGCTCATCCCATCCCATACCAATTAATTAACGTTCTAAATTCAACTATTTAGCTCACACACACAGAGCAATGGGCACCACCCCCACCCGAGCCCCCTCACCAAACCATCCATTCCATGCATGAAACTCCCCGCCGAAAAAGCCTCTCAACCGACTCGAGTGACTCGGTGAGATCGCAACTTTGGCGACCGTCCCTCGCAGCTTCGGGTTTCCCCACCTGGTCGCTCGCTCGCTCCAACGGGCTCGGGGGCGACCAGCCGGTGACCCGGGTGGGAGAAAGAAACAACGGCGTCGTTCCGAAGGGTGTGGCATGTGGGAAAGCTGCAGCAGCTAGTACACCTGCACCCAAACATGGTGGTTCCCGCTGTTGGTTTGAAGTGTTAAAACAAGGTGGTAAGCTGGACATAAGCCGGACTCATTCCTTGGATTCCAAGAATTAGGGTGAACGTGTGGGGGGTTGGATACGTACTCCCAGAATAGGACGAGATGCACAAAAGGCGCACCACGTTTGTAAGAATTTGTTTGAGACGATGTTGGCTACGGCTGCCGAGTTACAGAATCTGAACAAACTTCCTGAACGGTCCGGAAGGACCTCAAAAAGAAAGAACTCCAACAGCTACCTTCTTTCCAACACCCTCCAACAGGTCTCCTCTGAAACCTCGAGACTTGAAACAGTGGTGGTTGGGGTGACCTGTTTATCGTCGGGAGCTGGTTTGCGCCACGAGGCGGCACCCATGAAAGTGTGTTCGGGTTGTGCACAGTGAGAGGCAATAGTAGCGTCCTTGCTCCTAGTAGCGATGCCAGGAGCCCCTAGTAGCATCCTTGCTCCTAGTAGCGATGCCAGGAGCTGCTGGTAGCATCCTTGCTCCTAGTAGCGATGCCAGGAGCCCCTAGTAGCATCCTTGCTCCTAGTAGCGATGCCAGGAGCCCCTAGTTAGTAGATGTTAGTAGCATGCCAGGAGCCCCTACTAGCGTCCTTGCTCCTAGTAGCGATGCCGCCAGGAGCCCCTAGTAGCATCCTTGCTCTGCTCCTAGTAGCGATGCCAGGAGCCCCTAGGAGCCCCTAGTAGCGTCTTGCTCTAGTAGCGATGTCAGGAGCCCCTAGTAGCATCCTTGCTCCTAGTAGCGATGCCAGGAGCCCCTAGTAGCGTCCTTGC